GCCTTCACCGCCTGCTCCTTGACACTCACCAATTCATCAACGGCCTCGAAGTCACGTAAGAAGCTCCGTATGTCTCCTTCTTCAAATGCAGTTGGCCATAGGATCTTCATTTTTCGGAGGCAACGACACCGATGGTAATAACAGAAGACAGGGGCCAGGCCACCGATCGTTTATTAAGGAAATCAACGCATATTTATAGATTTTCATGTACATTATTATAGATTATAGTTAGCTGACAAACACATATTTGGGACATAAACATTGTCGTAAATCACTGTCTGGTAGAGAGTAATTTACGACAATGTTTATGTCCCAAATATGTGTTTGTCAGCTAACTATAATCTATAATAATGTACATGAAAATCTATAAATATGGGTTGATTTCCTTAATAAACGATCGGTGGCCTGGCCCCTGTCTTCTGTTATTACCATCGGTGTCGTTGCCTCCGAAAAATGAAGATCCTATGGCCAACTGCATTTGAAGAAGGAGACATACGGAGCTTCTTACGTGACTTCGAGGCCGTTGATGAATTGGTGAGTGTCAAGGAGCAGGCGGTGAAGGCGGTGGTCCTGGGGACGCTGTTGAGAGGCCGAGCGAAGGCGTCATATGACAGCGTAGACAGGTCAGATGGCACAGCGTCTTGGAAGACATTGGTTGAACGATTGGTGTCGGAGTTCGACAGCTCAACAGACAGACAGCTAGCAATGCAGCAGTTCCGTTCAACGAAGCTGGGACCCGATGGAGACCTTTAGTATTGGCGGTGAAATTGACGAATCTACTTCGACGTGTGCTTCCCACTTTGGATGAAGAATCAGAAGCGCAGTTATTGTCTTCCAATTCATCGAGAGTGTCCCAGACCACATTTCTCAGTGATTACAACTGGTTAACGCAACGCAGCCGATGGATATTAGAGAGCTAGCGAAGGTGACCAGACAGCTGCTGAGCACAACTGTAGCCGCTATAGAGCAACCAAAACCAAACGAATATGAGCAGAAAATTGAAGCATTGCAGCGGGAAGTGGCGGCGTTAAAGTTGGGTGACAGGAAAGACGGATGTTTTGAATGCGGTAACCCGGGACACTGGAGGAGATACTGCCCAGAAAGGCGAAAAAGAAAAAGTTTCAGACGGTATAATACGCGTTCTTTCTCTCGTATAAAACTAGATGTAGTGGAGGCTATTGAGAAAGGGGCTGTGTATTCGAAGTTACGAGTGTATGATCAAAAAGTAGTATGTTTAGTAGATGCTGGGGCAGCTGTGTCGTAAATAGACAAGAACTTATGTTAGTTCATGTTCATTGACAGTACAAACGGTAGGCGGGCATGTGCTACGCAGCTGCGAAGTGACGTTTCCTTTCATTGTTGTACCTGAATTACAGCGAACGATACTTGGGGTGGATTTTCTGTGGGAGATTGGTGCGACAATCGACACGCAAGCGAACGTTGTGATCACGAAATAGGAACATATCAGCATCTATGAGACCAGCGAGATAGCAGCGGTGAAGCTGTCGGCGGTATACAATATGACAGAGTTAATTAATAAATACGATCATCTGTTCACTGGAGATGGGGAACCATACGGTTATTGAGATAAGGTGAATCATGAAATTCTGTTAAGTGGTCCGAATGTAAGGTCATTTACAACGCGAAGAGTTCCATGTCATTTGGAAGGCGAAGTTGAGCGACAAGTGCGAGAGATGTTAAAAGACGATATTATTGAGGAAGCTGATAGCCCGTACAACTCTCCAGTGCTGTTAGTAAAAAAGCGAGTGGGAAGTATGGATTCTGTGTTGATTTTCGACAGTTAAACAGTATGACAGAGTTAAGACTGTGTGCCATGCCAACAATAGTAGAAACTTTAGATCGCCTACAAGGCACGAATGTGTTTTCGGTTCTCGATCTTCGCTCAGGATACTGGCAGATACCGATAAAACCAGGTGATAGAGATAAAACGGCATTCATCGTGGGTCAGACACAATATCGATTTAAACGCATGCCGTTTGGACTGCGCGTCAACAAAACCAAGTCTCAGATAGCCAAAAAGAATGTTACTCTTTTGGGACATAAAGTGGGAAATGGTGAGACTAAACCACCACCGGAGAAAATCTTGACGATCGAAACGATCCTGGCCCCGAATTCAAAGGGAAAATTCAGACAATTCTTGGGTAGAGCAGCGTTTTATAGCCGGTTCGTGAAGAACTTCAATGAGATAGCAGCCCCTCTGTAGAAGCCACTAGATGAGCCGAAGTTTGTTTGGTCGGAGGAATCGCAGAAGATACTCGACAGAATTAAACAGCTGCTCGACCTCCAACAAATGACGCTTAAACTACCTGTACCTAGAAGACAGTTCACAGTGTGCACAGATCCCAGTGACTACGCCACAGGTGCGGTCCTAAGACAGGGTGAGGGAATCGTTGAGTATGCCAGCCAGGTTTTGACACACACAGATAGAAAGTATTCAACGATAGAGAAAGAATGTTGAGCAATGGTATGGGCAATCGACAAATGGAGACCTTATTTACTCGGCCGGCGGTCCCACATCGAAACTGATCATAAACCGCTACAGTTTTTGAAGACAGAGAGAGACCCACGGGGGAAATTGTCATGGTGGATGTTGCGTCTTCAGGAGTACGATTTTACGATCTCACACGTTCCTGGAAGTGAAAATGTCTTGGCAGATTTGTTATCGAGAACAGAAGACGAGTCTGAGTTGTCCGAGGTAGCTTACGGAGTGCATGCAGTAGAACAAGACCCACTAAGACTTGCACGCAGGCAAGGGTTGGACGATACGCTGAATACAGTAATACATGTGATCACCAACGGAATAGAAGTGGATCAAGCTACAGCGAGTAAGGAGTTAAGCACACTACTCAGACAGAGAGATCGACTAAGAGTGAATGCCTACGGGACTCTGACCTAGCGAGAGAACGACGGAAGCTGGCTGGCTGTCATACCTCAATCGTCGCGCAACGGCATGATAGAAGAATGTCACCAGCTAGCACATACAGGAGTGGCCAGAACAACTGACCTCCTAAGACAAAGTATGTACTGGCCAGGTATGAGAGAAGACGTAGCAAGATACGTACTTGGATGTCCACGGTGCCAGCTAATGAAAGGCGACTGGTGCATACGACCACCGCTTCAGTTGATTCCACTTACGGCTAAAGGTGATATGGCGTTGTTCTAATTTTCTTGATGCCTCTTCGCTTTCAAAACACGGACCTTGGTCTGTCAATATCGCTTATGGTACACCGTGATTTGCAACGATATGTCGAAGCACTTCTTCTGTCACCGTTTTTGCACGTTGATTAGGGATCGCGACTGCGTGTAGCCATCGTGTGGCATGTTCTGTCATGACCAGAAGATATTGATTGCCATTGAACGTTTGTGGAAAAGGTCCCATTATATCTACGGACCACAGGTCTCTTATTGCTGTCACTGGGATCGACTGCAATGACGGTCGTATGTACTCATCACCTTCCATCAGCCGACATTCAGTACACGCTGTTACGTACTTCTCGACGTCTTCTCTCATACGTGGCCAGTACATGGTTTGTCTCAGGAGATCGTTCGTTCGGGCAACACCTGTGTGAGCTAGTTGGTGACATTCCTGTATCATCTCTTGGCGCATGCATTGAGGTATTACTGCTATGCAGCTTCCGTCATCCTCCCGCCACGTCAACATTCCGCAGGCATTCAAGCTTAACCGGTTTCTCTGTTTGAGTAGGAGATTTATCTGACGGTTCGCTGTGGGTCCATTTCCTGAGACGCCCAATGGTAATCAGTACTTCTTGGTGGTGAGGGAACACGCGACGCGATGGGTAGACGCCGTGGCAATCACAGACCAATGTGCAAGGAACGTGACAGATGCAGTAATTAGACACATCGTCGCAGACCACGGCGTACCAAAGACAATACTGACGGACCAAGGTCCCTGTTTCGAATGTGAGAAATTTACGTCTCGTTTTCAACAGCTGGGAATCAAGAGGATCAGAACGACCCAATATTATCCACAAACGAATGGCCTTACGGAGAGAAACAACCGTACACTGAAAGAGTGGCTTGCTTCGAAGAGTGGCAACTGGGAACGGAGCTTCTACTGATTCTACTAACACATCGTGCTACCACCCAAGATACAACGAATAAGTCACCCTTTCAACTAATGCATGGTAGAAAACGACGATTACTGATACACAACCAGACCTGGCCCCTTCACCAAAAGTGGAGTACGACGAAATTAAAAACAGAACGGAAAGAAGCAGTCAAGAATGTAATGCAGAAGCAGCGAAGGGATGTTGCGAAGTCTCAGCTGAGAGAAAAGACTCAGTGCACTATCTTTGCAGTCGGGGAAGAAGTGAAGTGTCGAGACAGAAGATACACAGTTGGATGCGGGCCAGGTTCACGAAAACTCCTTCCAAAGTGGGAAGGACCACATACAATCACATAAAGACGCGGTCAGGTATACCATCCGAAGAGGTGACAAACAGAAACGATTTAACGCCAGTCAGATCCAGTGATGGGTACAGTGGGACAAGTCGGTCCGTAACAATCCTCAACTAGAGGATGTATCACCCAGGATTTCGGAAAGCCTGCGCGCGAAGCTATTTGACGGGGGGACGAGTGTAGACCAATCTGTTTCCTGGCCGCTGTCTTGTTTTGGTACATGGGTAGCAACACCATCACAAGATATCAAATTATTGTTTATAACTGAAAAATGAAGCGTTTTTTGAAATTCGTAGAGGACAGAAAAATTCTGTGCAGATAAACAAATTAAGATATCGAGAATGTTCCAGACATTTTGAATTAGTTAACAAGATGGGATAGATTTTCCAAAATGTACGTTATGAAAACATGTAAAACTCTGAAAAGGAAAACTCGACAACACAAGACAGTAAACAATAAGACAATGATAAACAACCTGTAGATAGATAGATACACAGACAGACAGCCGCACAGACACAGACAGATAATAAATGAAAGATAAAACATTATGACAAACCTACTTGACATCGTTTGTTACAGATATCTGACGTCCACCAGGGCATAGGTCATGTATAATCACTTGACCTAGACAATCTTCTGCATATGAATAAGTGAACTCTAAATCGGATACATCCCCATCATAATGCTGAAAGACAACAAAAAAAAGAATAGACGAAAGATATATGAAAAACAGGTTTTTCAGTGGTTACCTAACTCATGTCAGCTCATGATGAAATCCTCTATGCAATCAAACCGAATCCCTACAAAACCAATACTTGAAAAGTAATCTGATGCTCACTTGAGACTGGCCCTATTCAGGCAGTTAACCTGAAGCTCTAGTGAAAAGCCGTGACCAGTAGGGTACAGCAGGTTGAAGATGAGGCAGTAACTCATCGAAGAAGACATTGCGAAATGGTCAAGGACCATTGGATCGGGTCCCAGTGGCTCAATGGTCTACGAGCTCCCTAGCCTTGTAACCAGAAGGTCCTGAGTTTGAACCCTGTCGTCAGTGGATGCGTACTGCCGAAGAGTCTTAAACTAAGGCGAAACCGCTGTCCAGTACTCCCAGATTTTCCAGTGGTCCCCTAACTGATGAAATCCTCTATGCAATAAATGAAAAACAGTTGATTTTTCAGCAATAAAGGTAACACACAGTTTTCCTTAATAATGAATAAATGGGTACACATTTGGTGATTTGAGGAACTCTAAAGACCAGATGATAGTGATGAAGAGTTATTGAGTTTCTCTGTGTCAATCTGTCCAGCTTGCAAGAATCAATGATTTCATTTTGAAGTGATGGTGGTGGTCGTGGTTTTCAGGGATTTGATCGATTTCAATACTGAACACGTAGTGAGAAGTTAGTTAGAGGACCACTAAATACCAGAGAGTGCTGGACAGCTGTTTCATTCTAGTTTGGGACTCATGCTCTCAAGTGAATTACTGTAGGATGAAGTTGCTTGAAGTTTTAGTGAGAAGTCGTGACCAATGCGAATCCAGTTTGGTCACCGATGACATTGCCTGGTAGAAGCGCTATATATCAAGAAATAAAAGAAGATTGAATTCACGGGGTCGATCATTGGATTTTCGTCCTAATGGTTGAATAAATGAATGGTCTACGAGGTCACCTGTAACCTGAAGGTCCCATCTCTGGAGGGATTACGGGTGCGTCGTGTAGAAGAGTCCTAGGCTAGGCAGGGACGAACACAGGTATCCAGTCCTCCTCTCTAGTTTTCTACATTTCTCTAACTGGATTCAGTTTGTGATCAGTTTTAGGATTTCAGTTTAGTGTGCACGCACCTTAGTTATGATGAATAAAAATTGACAGCAAGCTATTGATACTTCAATACACAAGTTGTCAACGAAAACTGGGAATTTCGCCGTGTCACACACTTTTTTAGTTTTATTTAACTGGGACTTTATCCATGAAATCAACTGAGAATACCTGCAGCAGGTATCATTCAACACCTTTTCTCCAGATATGCGAAAAATTCTATTACTTCTACGACTAACGAGAAAGATAAATCATCAATGAGTCATTTTAAAGCAAGAATATACACATATACACAGAAGGCTCGTTTGGCATACACCATCTCTAACAGATACGTGTTATCCGGATGCCTATCGATCAAGGGATCAAAGTGTGTACTGTTCAGCAATAGTTCACTTCCACCTCTTCCCGTATGGGGCTGGCTGTGAAACGTGGTCATTGGAAGTGGAAGACATGGAAAGGCTGGTTAGCTGTCTTTGATCATAGATGTCAGCGTTGTATCTCCCGTGTTACGGGGTGGTATAATAAGGTGAGCAGTATTGAGGTGAAGCATCAGTTGAGTGCTAGGTAAGGAAGAGAAATTGATTGAAGAGGTTGTGAAGTAGCTGCATCGACTAAGATGCTTAAGAAATATATAATGCATGTCTGCCTAATCATCGCCTTTCTCGACAACACGCAATGTTAGTTGACTGACATAGGATCAATCAAGCTGGAAAAGAGAAAGCCAGTCGTGGTCAAACCAAAACATGGCTTCATCACTCAATGAAATCCATAACAGTTAGTTTCAGCCAGTCAGACAGTCACGTAAGGAGGTGTAGATTGCTTTTACTGACTGGGGTCCTCCTCAAGATGGAAAGAACCAATGAAGGCTGGATGCAGACAATAGGTGATATATTTCAGAGTCCTCGTTCTCAGTGATGGTGCAGATGCATTCACTCTTTGTGACCTATCGTATCCAATAAAACTCCATTGTTTTTCAATATTACTATCCACTTTTCCTCACTTACACTCCTGTTTATTGTCCCTCTCTCCTTTTCTCTTGAATCTCGCCTTACTATCTTCGCTTGCTTTGTGTACTACATGAAGGGAGAGTGGCAACTGAAACTGATGTACATCTATGCAAAGTTCGATGTTGAAACATCATGATTTGCATCAATTATTCCTAATGTACACATGTTTACACGGCAAAGTTAAACTTTAAGCACCACTAACTACCAATCAGCAAATGGCTACGTGTGCACCAATCTCACGTGAAGGTGGCATTTTTGTGTATGGAATACATATATACTTATGAAAAAAAAAGCATAAAAACTGTACAGAAGTGTTACAGAGGATACCTCGCTCTTACATGGGATAAAAATAGTTCTCAGTTTTAGGTTGGTATAATCAACAGAGTATAATTCCAGCGTGGGTAAAATTTACTTTGATGAGTTTTCATTGTGTCATAGAGCAATGTTTACTGAGGAATATATATTGCGCTCGAAACATGGTCATCAGTAAATATTACTACTGCATAACACTGTGAGACTTTATCGGAATAAATTTTACCCACAATGGAATTGAACTATACCAACAGTGTACGAGTTCTATTCTTTTGTCATCTGACTAATTTGACCACATTCAATGCATGTAATTAATTATTTAGGTCTTCTAACCCTAACAATAACCCTAACGTGAAAATATCCCTAAACTAACTGTAATCTACCTCGAACCAACCCTAATGTCGCCTTTATTATTAGGTTAACCTAACCCGAACGTATCCTTGGCTTGAAGCTGAAACTTACCAGATATCCTATTTAATAACATAATACTTCGTGGAGCATATTTTATTGATGATGACAATATTATTTGCCGGATTCCACTAACTTGCTCAGTGAGCTTTTCAAGGTAGATTGGTGGGGGTCACAGTCCATTGGTAATTAGTGGTGTGCTTTAAGTTTAACTTAACCGTTTACACCCCTGTAAAAAAAAGGTTTGTTTCTTTTCAAAATACGTTCAAAAAAAAATTATTGAATTGAATTTTGTACAAGTTTGATTATTACGTTTAACTTTACCTTGATATAACTTAAACTTTTGTATAACTCTCTATCCAATGTGGCTAATTCATCAAGAAAACTGTAGCAACCAGCTTTTTCACGACCGAGTAATTGAGTAAGAAAGAAATTTGCAAATGGTACATCAACAACAATACTCTGGAAGAAAGCAAAATAAGGGGGGTGGATAAATTATAACAATCAGTTTAGTTAGTTGGTTAGTTAGTAGTTCAAGCTTAGTCAGTCGCCCCATAAAACACGAATTGTTCCTGAACTGGACTTTATATATATATATATATATATATATATATATATATATATATATATATATTAAATGCTGTGAGTAGAGCTTGTGGTCTGCCACTGCATGAGCTCGCTAATACTATAGTCGAGAGGCATATAAATTCCTGTACGAAATGGGCAAAGGCTATAATGTCAGACCCTCTGCACCCCCTTTATTCACACCTGTCCCCTTGTATCTCATCAGGTAGGACGAGAAGTCAATATAAAAAGATATATGCTCGTACTACTAAGTATAGAAATTCTACAATACCCTATTTAGCGCGTACTTTATGTGACGAAGACTCTGTTAGACGTGAAACTTACAAGTTACTATGTAATTAGCACAGTGAATCGACCCTTTTATCGCTCATCTTTCTGTATTTTATGGTGCCACACTTTCTATCGTTTAAATCGTTACTCTGCTATTTTATATTAGTTGGTATTACTATTATTACTACAATTTTGTACTTTATACATATTTTTCTCCGTATGGCACACAGTATTTTGCTACGTAGCTACTACAACAATCGTTTTATTACTATTATATATTGTGTATTTTTAATTTTTTTTTGGTCGTTTTTGGGTAAATTAGATGCAATATTGTACTGAATGCTGAAAATTCCTTGCTGTATCATGAGTACTGTTTTTGGAATAAAGCAATTATATATATATATATAATGTGACGGGTACAGCTACTACCTAGTTGTTCAGATTGAAGTAGTTGGGGAAGCAGAGTTAGAATCCAAACAGCTCAATTAACTGAAGGTCGAGTACGTGAACCAAATAAGTTACATCTCCAAAAATCATAACAAATAATTTGTGCTTTCACAACACAATAAGAAGACTTTTTTTCCCTTTACTTTCCAAGTGGAATATAGGGCGTAGTTTATCTGAAACGTGTAATGTATTGGCGAAACACATTTCGGACATATCCTTGCCGTTCAGAGGTGATCAACAAAGTCTGGTCACTGGACAGAGACTCAAGGCCACAATTAATAGAACCTAGTATGCACCTAAACTTATCTCTTCATAGAGAAAACGAGAACTATGCTGTCCTGTAAACCCTCACATTATCCGAACGATAGTGTCACATCCTATTGTGTTTATCAATTTACGTGTATGTGTGGAGACACGTACATAGGGAGGACCCATCGGTCTCTGAAGGTTAGGGCTACAGAACACATTCCAAAGTGGCTGCAACGACAAATGAAATCGCCAGGCACAACTGACCCCGGAAATAGACGTCCAACGTCATCTAAAGCGAAGTACATTATAGAGATGGGTCATAAGGTTGATTTCAACAGTGCCTTTAAGCCCATATTAAAACAAGGTTGGGCCACATACTTCAATTCATTGAAGCCTTAGCTATAAAAAGACTTAAACCTGCCTTGGTAATCCAATTTAGCACCAAGGACCAATTTACTTCATAATATTTTCAACCCCTTCTTTGCCTTTTTTCTTTTCCTATCTTTTTAAACCACACCTTCTACGTCTCCCTACCCATTATTTGTGACCTTGACCTGTACGCAATCTGACCTGTATTGTAATTATTCATGCCTTCTATAAAAACTATGTATGACAAGTACGTGTGTGATCAGAATGTCCGAAATGTGTTGCGCCAATACATTACACGTTTCAGATAAACTACGTATTCTTATTGTGTTGTCGAAATATATAAAGGGAACTAATTGCTTTAAAAATAATTTGTGCGTCGGTGGCACAGCAGTAGAATGCCAATCAGTCGTGTCTGTGGTTCGAATTTCGATGATCCCCAGTCGATGCACTCCTTCCTTTACCTCACTAACGCTAGTAAAGAGGGAAGATAGGGTATCAGGCTAGCGACCCCATCCCGTGAACACCACTTCTACCGAAACTTAAAGCCTCTAGCTTGAAGCCCTATGTCCCAGAGAGAACAAGAAAGGAATAACAAAAAATGGTGGTTCAATGGTGGCATGCTTGCTAACCATACTGCAAGTTGCATGGGTTCGATCCCCGGCCATCGACGTATTCTTAAATCCCGTTTAGCCAGTAGTAACCCCGGTAAAAAGTCAGGTTGGATGTTAGGTTAGCAACCCCCGTAGAAATAACAATACCATCACTACTACGATTCGTTTGAAGCAGTTTTTGGAATCGCATGCGCCTATGAAGATCTTACAGCCGGTTACGGACCTTTACCACAAAGTAAATCGAGATGTACAATTATCGGGGTCGACCTTTACTGGCCCCACTTTTAAGAGCAATATAGTTGGTAGGCTGGTAACCTTATTGGCTTTTCCCTATTAGCTAGTGATATGACTTCGCTTACAGAAAACCGACCCCTACCCCTCAACACAGTGTGAACATTTTACACTGTGAGACCGTAACTGCTTTTAGTTTAATCGCCATACAAACAACCTTTATGGTATGGTTAGACCTTCAGGAAAATTAGTTAAATGAAATGTTAATAAAATCCAATGATGCACATCCATCGCTCATATTCACTTGTGAAGAAGAACATGACGGTAGACTACATTTCCTTGACATCCAATAGAGCAGAAGGGAGGATGGTTCCCTTAAGAGAGATGTCTAAAGAAAACCTACATCTGTAGGTAGATATACACATTTCCTCAGTTTTGTACCAATCCGATACAAAGTCAATTTGGTCAGATGCTGTCTCACGAATAGAGCAAGACATATCTATACAGATGACTACCTACAAAATGAGTTAGGATACATCCAAAATACGCTGGTCCAAATGGGTTATCCTAGTAGTAGATTTGTAAAGAGACACATGAACACCAAGTACAATAAAGAGAAACTGACAACAGCTGAAAAGAAACAACTGTTCATGAAATTGCAATTTAATGGGGACATGGCTAGCGAAGTCTTACATCTGAGATTATCGACAGCGATAAAAGATTTATACTACCATCACCCTTTGTTTGTCATTTCGCAGCCGACCAATTATGATTGCTCAAGTGAAAGATAAGCTACTTAGCTGTGCCACATCTATGTGTATCTACAAATTTAGTTGCTCCTGTGGAGAAAGCTATATAGGCCGAACAACTAGGCAGCTTAACAAACGCATTAATGAGCATCTCCATTCACTCATGGTTCGAAAACGGTCAAATAAAATCCATACGAAGTTCTATTTTGGCTAATTTGATTGATAGTGGTCACCAGGTGGACAAAAATAGTGCCTTCAAAGTTATCTATCGCATTCTATCGAGCCTATCGAACGGAATTCAAACCAGCCTTTTACACACAGCCAAAGCTATGGGAATTAATTCGAGAGAACAATCCTAGTCTTTGCATACAACAAAAGAAGTTTGTTCTACCTTTGTCTCTCCCTTGCCTGGCCTAGGTGAATTCTACTCAAAACCCTCCCACCCTTTTTTATCATCCCTCTCCTTCGTACTTTTATGATATTTATTTAAACTCTGATTATCTGTCCACTACATCTACCTTTAGTATTGCGTAACTTTTATGATTTGATCTAATTTATTTATTCATTGAATTGTTTACATATACATATATTACTACCTTTGTTATTCTTATCACCACCTGCATAAACCTTATTATCAATATTTCGTTATGATTATAATCATCGTTATTAATGACGTTCAAAACATTCACCACATTATTATTATTAGATCCACAAAATCACCGTCATTGGTTAAATTCTGTTTTATATATAAATCTATGTAAATTAGATTAAAGCCTGATGAAGATCTAATTGAAAACAATACTGTTCGCTTATACGTCTTATTCTAATATTAAAAATGGGAATATTTAAAGATTTAAAGCCAGTTCGGCACTTTGGGTCAGTGAAATATACAATCCCAACCACCACGTCAATGTAGCAGATATCAGTCAGGCTTATTTCTATTATGTTAGTCATTATTTATTACTAATGTTAATAACTTCACAATGTTCATTCTATGTTCTGACAAATGGCTTTTTGGTTATACGCTCTTAAGAGTGGATTTTTACACTACTTAACTCACCTACAATACAAAAACAGTGTATATTAAAGCCTATCATCTATGGATGAATACTAAAAATAAAGCTGTGAAAACAATCATTTGAGTTCTTCAACCTCTTCAGTCAGTTCTTCTAGTTACAGAGGTTGGCAACTTGTGATCCGTGAATGTAATGTAACCATTTATACAGACGTACATACAGTGGCGATCAGTACCTCCTGGTGATGATGGACGGAACATGCTAAAAAGGATGGGTGAACCTCCACTGCGATCCCGGATCAGTGCGCAAAGACTGTGACTGAAGACGCAGTGGTTAGGCGTATCGTTGTACTAAAGACGATATTGACAAATCAGGCGGTCTATTCCTAACGTGAAGAATTTACACCCTACTTACAGCAGTCAGATGTATTAAGAAGACTAGAGTAACCACCATATCGTCCACAAACTAATGGTTTGACAGACAGAAAAAACTACATATCGTGAATGAGTGATTGCCTTCGAAGGGAGGTAACTGGGAAACACAGCTTCTATTAGTCCTACTAGTACATACATCGTGCTTCTGCCGAAGAAATAACAAAGAAGTCACCGTTTCAGTTGGTGTACAATGGAAAACCACGACTACCAATTCACAATAAGACCAGATAGCATCCACCAACAGTGGAGTATGTGAAAATGGAAAACAGAATGGAGAGAAGCAATCAGAAAACAATGTAAAGGATAAACAGAAGACTGACACTATGATATTCGAAGAGAGAGAGAGAAGAAATCAAATAATGCATCACGACTGAAGTCGGAAACCATGTAAAGTGTACGAAAGAAAGTGGGCTGTTGGAGACCGGCTAGGTCCTTGGGCAATCTCTCCAAAGTGGGAAGGACCATAAACTGTCACAGAGGGATAGGCTCTTGCTGATACCATTAGCACAGGGGACAAACGGCAACGTGTTAACGCCAGCCAACGACGGAAATGGATACAATGGTTCAAAGATATCCTGGACCGACGTGAAGAACCAAGAAAACCTGGATTTCGCGCGTGGATGATTTATGCTTGATGTCACACAAAGTCGAAGACCCACAAGCGAAAACCGACAAACTGGTCGAAGAAGCAGCCGGCGAAGACAGGACTACAGGTGAACATAGACAGGACGGAGGTTATGAAAATAACCAACCACCAACAACAACGACAGAAACATCCAGTGCCAATCACCACCAACGGGAGGGATTTGAAAGAGGTTACTTCATTCACTTACTTATCTAGGAAGGAGCATTGTCTCAACTACAGGCACTCGGAACGGACGAGCATGTCAAATCGAGAATCGGGAGGGCGAGCGAGAAACACATTCATCAACCTGAAAACAATCTGGAAATCTTCGTCACTCAGCCAGGATCCACAACAAATTCGGGAGGATTTTCAATACAAACAAGGTCAAGTCAGTCAGTTCTTCTATACGGATCAGAAACTTGGCGAGCGGGTCACAAAGAATATTTCCAACAGCCTGTTGCGATGCAAACCTTTATCAACCAGCAACTGTCTTCGCTGGATCTATACTGAAGATCAGATGGCCGGGCCGAAAACAATCACCAACAACAAGAAACTATAGGCACAAACAAAACAAGAATAAATCAATAGCCTAACAGATATGCAGGAGAAAGTGGAGGTGGATTGGACAGCCGCTGAGTGATATCACGCGTCAGGCAATTGCTCGAGTGGAACCAGGCCGAAAGGGAAGCATGCGGCGAATGGGACGTCAGTGTAAGGGTGACATGGAGGAAATCGTGTGAAGAGGAGTTGAAACAGTATGGACTAAGATGGATGGATGCAGGTGAAAAGTAGAGCAGAAGACAGAAGTGGCAAGTGGAGACGTGCAGTTGAAGCTCAATGTTCCACTAGGAACCCAAGGGAACAATAATAATAAGACAAAACAAGAACGGGTAGCACCAAAAAGGTCGAAGCGCCAGTTGGAATGGTGATTTTAATGTAATGCTACGCTATTCTGCTGGTATATATATATATATATATACAATCACTTACTTCATAGATAGCTTTAGCAAGCATTTTGCCTAAAAATTCAAACAGTTGTAAATGACTCTCTTGTAGATGTGATGTAGGCGATGGATATAAACGCTGGTCATTTGTTACCCGAAATAAATTTAAACTTGGATCAAATACACGACGAAGTGTTTCTTCTAAGAATTCCTTGAATACACCATCCAAATCAATGCCAACTTCATCTAAACCCTGTAAAAGCAAAAGGATAATAAACAGAATTAAACTAAAATAGCAAAAAGAGGAGGGGGAGGGCAATTTTATGTAAAAAAATAAACATGAACTAAATTATGTCCTAGATGGTAAAAGTCGATCAACAGACAATTCATATACCAAGCTAATAGCTATACTGATCGTGTGAGGGCTGACGATGCTACCAAGTTGTTCGAGCACAGGTAGGTGGAGGATCAGGATACGAAATCGAGAGCGACTAGTTGAAAGTCGATTGACTTACAACAGTAACCCACATCTCCATTTGTTTTCGGAGATTTAATTTAATATTATCTAATAACAAAACGATATTTAAGGTTTAAAATAACCTTCAGTAAGACTGGATGACATTCAAAAATCGATTATGCTATAACAACTGATTTTTTGTATTTACAGCTTGATTCCACACTGTATTTTGGTAAAGTATGGAATTTGATGACATTAGATGTTTGAAGGCAATCGGCAGGACGCCTTGGACCTAGGTTTCGTGCTAGTCGGCACTAGTGTCCAATCAAAAGTATGGAATTTTCACCATGGATATCGGTAGCCTAAATTTTGCAGGCCGACCATAGATATCAGGTGTGCGTCGGTAGGGGATCGAACCTCGGACCATGTGGATGGTCGGCGAGAGTCCTAACCACTGTGTCACCGACTAACTATTTGCGTTTACTTCATCATTGTAATTATGCGTTCGTTGATCCCCGAATGGAACTTGAGGCTTCTTCCAGTGCACATACTCATTGTGCTGAGCTCTCAACAATAACTTTTAGCTGACTTGACGATTAGACACTACTCACGAAATTGCATCTCCTCTTCACATGATCTTTTTCTGCATGTTATATACGGAAGTCTATCACATGTCGCTACCTTTCTTCGACTCGAGATTACGGCATGTAATGTTTCTCAACTGTTTGCCTAGTCTATGTTAAATTGATCTCAGTTTCCTTCTGCATATTTGTTACGTGATAGTTTCTTGGCTGGTTAGCTGGCTGGCTTTCATATATCCTTGTTCAAGTGTTGGTTTGTAGGGGTTTGATTGATTGGTTGGAGGACTTCATCATGAGCTGACATCGGGTGAAGAACCATTGGAAAACTAGCTGGGAGTACTGGACAGCTGTTTCTGTCGTCCTAGTTAGGGACTCTTCATCAGTACGAGCCCCCATCAACAGTATTCGAACCTAGGACCTTCTGGTTACAAGGCGAGCTAGTGAACCCTAAGCCACTGGAACCTGATCTAATGGCCAGCCCATGAATTCTAACTTCTACCAATTCACGACATAGCGCGACGACTAGCCAATGTCTTCGGCGAGTATTTGTCCTCACACCCGACCTGCTGGACCCTACTGGTCACGACTTCTCAACCAAAACCCAGGTAAACTACCCACCTGAATAGGGCAAGTCGCCAGTGAGCATCTCATTGATATTCAAGTGTTGGTTTGTAGGGATTTGATTGATTGGTTACAGGATTTCATCATGAGCTGATATCCTTGATGTAAATCCATTCTGATCGAGCAAAGAGGCCTGTTGGTTGGTGGTGTAAGTCTGCAGTGACCTATTGGAAATTATGTTGGTGACGGACACGTCAAGTCACTAAACCATGTAGAAGCACTGTCTTCACATAATTGTGGAAAGTTTTGATCTTGTTTCTTGCACTTAGTGATGTAGATCTTCACAAAACCTTCAGATTAATAAGAGATACCTGTCTTGTTTGCCTTTGACATCTTCAGTGTTGTGTCAATTATTTGTAGGTGAGAGGACGCTTACCACGTAAAGTTGGGTATCTTCATCACCTCTGACATCTCCATGTTCACTCAAACTCCTGTTCTGCCAACTTGTTGGCTTTCGCTTGAAATTCTTCGACTTTGTACAAGGTAAAACATAACCAGAAGGTCCTGGGTTCGAACCCTGGCAGTGCGTGTGTGTACTGCCGATGATTCCCAAACTAGGATGAAACAGCTGTTCAAAGTACTCCCTGTGGCTGGTTTTCAATAGTTCTCTAACTGATGTCCATCCATGATCAACTCGTAAAAACAAAAGTAATCCTTACAAACTAAACTATAGGATAAATTTTGTTTTGATAAAGTCTCACAGTGTTATACAGTAATGTTTACTGATGACGTTTCGAGCACAATTTATTGCTCATAATCATTTCAAGGTTATCACACGACATATTTATGGAAAGCTGGGAAAAAAGTGCCCTCAATACATTTAACCCTACTCCGAAAATATGGTGGAGATATGTGGATGACACTTTCACAGTGTTAAAAACAGAACACATCTCCAGCTTCTTGACACATATAAACTCACAAGTAGAGGGAATAAAATTCACATTTGAATCGGAAAATGAACAAGGAGAATTAGCTATGTTAGATTGTAAGATAAAACGAATAGAAGAAGGCAAACTACACACTAGTGTTTATAGAAAAACAACGCATTCTAATAGATATTTAGACTTTAATCCGTCTCATCCTTTAACTGTTAAGGCAGGCTTAGTTAAATGTTTAACAAACCGAGCAGTGGCACTAAGTAGCACAAAAAAAGATCTAAATGATGAATTAAAACAGATAGAAGAAGCGTTGGTGTTGAATAACTATCCTATAAAATTCATTAGGAAGATCACTAAAGGCCAAAAACAAAATAAAAATAATTGTGAAACTAGTAATAATAACATAAATAAGAAAGAATATAAGTCATCCACAGTTATACCATATAAAGAGGGGACATCTGAGGCCCTACGTAGGATTCTGAATAAAATAGGAATTAGGGTGGCATTTAAACCTACAAACTAACTCAGGGACAAGCTCTGTAGGTTAAAGGACCCAGTTGACCCAATTAGACAAAATAATATTATTTACAAAATACCATGCAATGACTGTGAGGTCAACTACATAGGTCAAACTAGTAGGTCAGGGGTAGTCAGATTGTCAGAGCATAAAAATTTAGCTAAGGTAAGAATGGTTGACCCCGAGAAGATGAGTAATTTAGAAAAAAGCTCAGCAATTGCAATGCATGCGCTAACACACAACCACACAATACGGTGGGAGAGGGTCGAAATTCTAAGAAGTAATCTATGTAGGTGGAGAGAGAGGTTGATTACTGAATCCTTGTTCATCGAGTCTACACCCAACACATGCAATAGGAATGACTCGTCACTCATACCTGAAATATGGAAAATACTATTACCAATCAAACCAAGTGAAAATCAAGAGAAAAACAATGGAACTATATAAATGAATTTAGGAAGTCGTGTGATAGCCTTGATATGATTATGAGCAATAAATTGTGCTCGAAACGTCATCAGTAAACATTACTGCATAACACTGTGAGACTCTATCAAAACAAAATTTACCCATAATGGAATTACACTCCACCACAGTGCACTAGTTTTATTCTTATATCAATAAACTATAGGAAATACAATTTTTACAACAGAAAGAAATATGCATATACACACACAAGCTTATAGAAAATACTCGAGCAAGTTATTTTCTTCTCTCAAAAAATATGAAGAAGTTAAATTATAGCAACCATCAACAAGAACACCATCCAAATGACTTTGAACAACTATTACTGATTACACTGTAAAAAGCAACACGTTAAAACTGATGAATTTGTTAATAAACTGTATTTCAAAACTCTGTACTATTTACTAATGATGTGGTTGCCTGTTGCTTCAAAGTTACACAGTTTGGAATGTATTCGTGTCAGATCTTGGAGATGGTTGCTATATATAAATAGACATAAAAGAAGAATATATAACGTACCATTTCATTGACAAACTGTACACGTATTTTCATACGTAGTTGTGGTGAAGTTAAATTGGCCAGCTGTTGATATCCATCCTAAACATAAGTAAAATAAAATACAAAATAAAATTGCATTTCAACAAACAGATTCGTGAACTTACAGGAATTACAATTTAATTAATGGTCTGACCATTGGATTCTATTCAAGTAACCTAAAAGGTCCTGAGTTCGATTCCCGATTGTCATTAGTGACTGATTAAAAGGACAAAATTGCTTGGAGTTTTAGTGATCAGTCGTGACTACTGCTGGGGTCCAACATGTCAGGCGTGGGGACAAAAACTCGCTGATGGATAATGGCTGACGGTCGCGGTATATATCACGAATTGGCAGAAGTTGGCAGAATTCATAGACTGGTCATTTGACCACCTACAAGCTTTCCTTGGTAATCAAAGGGTTCTGGGAGCGTACTGCCAAACAGTTCCAAACTAGGACTTAAATAGTTGCACACTGTAGTCTCTGGACCTAAGTCAATGCAAAAATTAGCGCCACATTATGCCACTCCTGTCCATCTAAAGCAAAATACTAAGCCGCGTGATCCTGGAGAGAATCAAACACGCCAACCTGGTTGAAAAACTTCGACCGGAACAAGCTGGATTCAGGAGTAACAAATCATGCATCGATCAAATCGCAACGCTACGGATCATCAGTGAACAGAGCTTGGAATGGCAATCAGCTCTCTATCTCACTCAACTTCATTGACTTTGAAAAGGCCTCCGACAGCGTCGACTGAGAGGTCATTTGGCAACTACTTTGCTACTACGGGCTGCCGCCAACAATTATACACCTCATCCGCCAGTTGTAGTGACAATGCTGCATGCCAAGTAATCCACAACGGGAAACAGAGGGAATCCTTCGAAGTGAGGACGGGAGTAAGGCAAGGTTGCCTACTATCGCCAATGGTTTTCCTGATTGCAGTAGATTGGATAATGCGACAAAAAACGGGCAGTGAGGAAACAGGCATAAAATGGACTCACACAAAAAATTTGGAGGATCTGGACTTCACCGATGATATAGTCCCATTTCTCACAAACTGGAAGATATGCAAGTGAAAGCAATAATTTGGTGGCAGAAGAAGCATCAAAGATAGGACTTCAAGTGAACATAGAGAAAACAGGGGTGATGAAGATTCCTGGACAACAGCAACAACAACAGATAACAATCAGCCAATATAAGTGGGATAAATCTGAAAGAAACAACCTACTTTACCTACCGACCTGGGAAGCATCGTTTCAACTACAAGCGGAACTGACGAGGATATCAGAGCAAGAATCAGAAAAGCAAGACAAGCTTTCATTACTCTAAAGTCTGTGTGGAGATCGACAGCACTCAGCATGAAAGGTAGGGTCCGGATTTTCAACTTAAGCGTGATGTCAGTGATACTATACAAATCAGAGACTTAGTGCGTCACGAAGGCCACTTTGAACGGACTACAAACCTTCATCAACAGCTGTCTTCTCCTTGTGTTTAAAGTTAGTGCTTACAAGAAACAAATGATTATCAGAACAGAACTGTAGGAGACGGTCACCGTTGTCGGTTCGCTGGCACGGAACTCCATAGGTGCCACCGACATCCTTCTCAGATTGACACAATTTCCCTACTTGAGCGTTAAAGTCACCAGCTAGAACGACTATATCTGAGCGTTTAGCCTTTCCACCAAACTAGACAGCTTTTGGTAGAACTCATCCTTCGTTTCATCTGAACTGCAGTCAGTGGGGGCGTAGGCGGAGATTACGAAAAGGCATCGGCGAGTAGTGCAGTCCTTTCTCCTTCTTACTGATCCGTTCAGGCGGACAGCACACATTCGGCTATCTACCGGGATCCAGTCAAGCAATGTCTTTTCTGCCCTAGTACTCAAAGCTATCCCTACGCCAGCTAATCCTCGTGAACTAGCTGTGGCATCTCCTGACACCCTCAAGGTGAATTTTGCAGATTCAACCTGTTGGCCAGGTGGGGTTAGGTGAATAACCACACTTGGGTCTTGTATGCGTGTTTCTGAAACACAGCATACATCAATGGCTCGGATGCCAGGGTCTTGGCTAGTGATGCTTGTTGTCCTATTTGGCAAAGTGTCCTAACATTAAATGCTCCTATATGAAATTGGTGGCGTGGCTTTAGGAGACTATCCGTGGTGGTTTTTTGGCTTCCATCGTTTTTAGTGGACACAGAGTGGAGAGGGAGTGAGGAGCCATCAAGTAGAGGAGTTGCATCAGTGGAAGGAAGGCAAGATAGATGAAGATGAAGACAAAGATGAGTGAGGATTAGAGAGGTTTCGTGTGCATTTCGGATTGTGAGGGCGATTGTTACTTCCCGGCTGCCCACACCGTGGAAGTTGGTTGCGTGACCGCAGAGCCCAGGGGACAACTGCTTGAGGCCGGTCACACGCGGCCTGTTTTTGTTTGTTCTTTTTTGTTTGGTGTGTCTCAGTAGCATATTTATCACTCCTGCCCTGTGACACGGCAGCAGGAAGCGCGGTCGTTGTTAATCCGGGCCACGGCCGATCCGGCATGAAATTTTGTGAATTTGTTTGAATCATGGTATTGGATTGGGTAGCTGCTTTTTGTTTAACCGCTATCCAAACAACCTGCCTGGCATGGTAGAACCTCAAGAGACATAAGTCTCAGCCAGTATAGCTTGATTAGGTCATTGCGGTGTTCAAGCCCGACCACCACGTCAAGGTAGCAGCTTTCGGTCGGGCAACAAACATGCACGAAGAAATGGAAGTGGATTGGCCATACTCTGAGAAAAAAAAACCAACAAGTGAGTGGCACCACACGCCAAGCCATCGCTCGAGTGGAACCCGAATAAGAAACGGTGATTTGATCGTCAGTGTGAGAGTGACATGGAGGACATAAAAGCACGTGGTCAGACGTGGAGCCAAACGAAAATGTTGGTGGATAACCGAACGCAATGGAGACGTGCGGTTGAAGTCCTATGTTACTCTAAGAACTAAGGGAGACAATAATAACAATAATAATAGCCTCTGGTTTTCAATGGTTTTCTAACTGATACCAACGCGTGATCAAAAACTTAAAACCAATCAAATCTATACAGACCAGTACTTGAAAATAATATTACATTCGTGCAACGTGAAACACAGTAGTTCAACTTACTTCAACAATACGATTTCTATGCACTGTGATCACAGCACCAACGGGGCCATCATCTGTAAGCCAATTAGTTCGTGTATGTATCCCCAGAGATGCTTTATCTTCACGTACAAAATCTCGAAATAGGATAACACGCTATTAGATAGATTGGATAGGAGAGATGTTTAAAAAAAAATAAACGCTTACCTCTTTGTGTGGTATAATATGCGGAATATGCTTTAGTAGAAAAGTTGCATGCGGTTTCGGTTTGCGTAAATCGGAGAGAAAAGCTGATACTTTGAGATTACTGAGGTTTGTTTGTTGGTTTATTTGTTCGATTTGTATGCCAGGACAATTGATTTGTATAACATGAGAAATAAAGCATAAAAACAGTAGATAGTCTTTTTATAATTAAGGTAAATAAAATTATATATATAGACTGAGATTGGTAACTGGGTAGGGGCGTTTAATCCCTGATTTGATGCATACTGAATCCTATCAGTTGAAATCTCAATGCGATCAAGAAGCTAGGTAGCTTGGCATCAGGATGTACCCTAAAATTATGTCAAGCAGCTTAAGGCGATTGGCAGGAAGCTCTGTATTTAAGTTTCGTGCTTGTCGGAACTCGTCAGCAAGGCGTGTACCTGCAACCTTGTAGGAGCTCATGCGCTCTTTAGCCACCTAATATCAGATGATAACTTGCCCTGTATAGCGAGTCACTTAGCTTCGTCACCACGTCGTAAACTAGACTGATAGGAATACAGTCTGCATTAAACCAAGGACACTGGTTACTCCCCACTGATCAATTTAAGCTTCCACTACAGTCTTACAGGGGGTCATTGACAAGTTCGAATACCTTACTGGTGACATCTCCGGTTGACCTATGTATTTCACCTGACAATCATTGCAGTCAGGGTACTAGATAAACTAAATTGTTTTGTGGGTTTGAATGTCAGCCACTTTTATTCCCGCCTTGTTAGAAATTCTGTGTAAGGTTCCCGAGGTTCCTTCCCTGTATGGAATTACCACTGATGATTTAGATTCCTTATTGTTGGTGTTGACTTGTGCATATTTGAAATGCATGTCGTCATTAATATTAATATTATCATTATTATTGCTATCATTATTATTATCACTATCACTAGTATCATTATTTATTTTATTTTTACGTTTCCCTACATACTTTCTGACTCATTTATTAGGGTAATTATTAAATTTCAAGGCTTCTCTTATATACCTCACTTCCTGTCTTAGATTTTCCTTGGTACTGCTTAGTTTTTGTGCTCTTTCATTTAAAAATTACACCAATCCTATTTTTACTGACATAGGATGGGATGATCGGCAGTTCAAATATCTGTTTGAATGTGTGGATTTCCTGTAAACACTAGTGTTTAACTTCCCATCTTCTTTCCTTTTTACACTGCAATCTAACATTGGAAGCTCCCCTTCTTGATCTCCCAATTTATAAGTGGATTAATTGACTCCGCCTCTGAGTTAATGTGTTCGATATATATATATATATATATATATATATATATATATATATATCCTGTGTTCTGAGTACAGGGAATGAGCCATCTACATACCTACACCATACTTTCGGGGTGGGGGTGAACGGTTCAATCGCTATCTTTTCCCACCTTTCCATGAATATATCTGCTAAAACCGGGGATATTGGTGATCCATGGCAACTCCTTCAGTTTGCTTGTATATTCTCCCTTGGGATTTAAATACTGTAGAAGTCAGGCATAGCCACACTCCCAGCATTATGTTCTCAAGTGGCACTTTCGTCCTAAGTTCGAGTTCTTGGTCAGAAATGAGTTCGTTTCTGACTGCCTCTATAGCCATATTTGTTCGTATACGTGTATATAAACTGACAATGTCAAAACTATCTTCATTATCTAATTTTAAATTATCTAATCTATGTTTTAGTTCATAAGAATGAGTTAGTCTAGATTTCGAATGGCTTCTAGGAGGATCTAATACCATAGCTAAATATTTAGATCATTCATAATTAGGTGAATTTCTAAAATCAACTATAGGTCTAATAAAGTATCCTGACTGATGAACTTTAACAACACCATACATCCTATTGAGTTTATTAGTTTTGGGCACTGAATTAAACCACTTAGACTCACCTAGAAACGGTTTTATTCGGTGTATAAGGTTCGCTGTAGATTTCTTAACCTTATTCATACCGGGGTCTATTGATTTATTAATTTCCTCATATGGTCCTGTTTGTATGTGAGTGTTCACCTTGTCCAAATAGTCTGATTGTCTAATATTATTGTTGCGTCCCCCTTGTCTTAGTGATCAATGTGTCCTTGTTATTCTTAAGGTGTTTTAAGGCTTCTATCTCTGGTTCTGTCAGCCTAGGTTTTTCACGTTTCTGTCGTTTTAATGTTAGCGCACATTGTGCCCGTACTTCATCATACGTTGTCTTGTCTTTACCACTTAGTGCTATTTATATTTTAGGGATAACATCCTCAGATTTCAGCTTGTCTACTAATACATTGAAATTGAGTCCCTTTTCTAATACACTTATTTCTGTAGGACCTAATATATATGTGTTGAGAGACTTACACACCACTTTGTTTTATCGATCGCCGTTAACTTTGGATTATTGACTTCATCGTTCTGAGATGAAGATTTCTCCTCTAACAATTTGTTGAACTTTTTGATTTGACTATTTGAAAGTTGCTGATTTTGCATTGCTGGAAGACTGTGTTATAAGATTGTAATCCACATTGGTAACTAATCCAATTAGTTTTTGCTTTAATTGCTCGATTTTATTTCTCTTATATGGTGCAACCTTTTAAAAATTCTGTGAATCTCTTCTTTTAGGAATAATTTTTGTAGACTTTCTGTTCTGCTTCTAACTTTGTCTGTCGGGAATGGAACTTGTAGACATAAGTATTTAGGAATGATTTTATTTTTCAAGCATCGAATGTTGAAAATACCATGATTTTCACATATCTTGCCTCGATTTGCGAAAGTCAAGTGAGTTTATTGATTGGTCGTCTTCGAACATGAAGACCATATGTCATATTAATATATGTGTAAAACTTGAGCACTGTGGTAGTAATAGTAATAACCCAGTAATTAACATAGGGCTTCGAGCTAGAAGGCTTGGAGTTTCTGTAGCAGTGTTTTTTTACAGGATGGGGTTACTAGGCCTCATGCCAAACCTTCTCTCTTACCAGCTTTATCAATGGCTTAGCGAGGGTAGAGGACTGCGTCAGCCGTGGATCAAACCCCGGACCATGTGCATGGTCGGCGAGCGTCCTAACCACTATGCTACCGACGCTAATACAGAATGAGTGACAAGAAACTATTGGAACAAACTAATTAAGAACCTATCGTTCAACAAATATATATAGGAGAAAATGGAAATGGATTGGGTACACGCCAATGAAACCGTCGGGTGAAATCACGCGCAATGCAGGCCATCGTTCGAGTGGAGATGGTTAGGACATGTGTTACGTATGCCTGATCATCGCCTTCCTCGACAACAGGCAATGTTAGCTGACATAGGGTCAACTTGGAAAAGAGATAGCGGCGGTCGATCCAAAAAACATGGCTGCACCAGTCAATGAAGTCAACAACAGTTAGTTTAAGCCAGTCAAGTAGGAAGGTGTAGACTTCGTGACTGGCTGGAAAGAATTAGTAATATGGCTCAAAGTGATCGTTGTCAATAGCTGGCTGGCGCAGGTGCATTCACTCCTTGTGACTTATGATTTCCAATGAAACAATATTGTTCTTTGTTATTACCATTCCTTTGTCTCACACCTCTGTTTACTGTCTCTATTATGCATTTCTTCTACTTTCTTCTCTTGCTTTGTGTGGTACAAGGAGGGAGTGTGGCGACTTGAACTGGTGCACATCGGCACAAAGTTCAATGTTGAAAACAGACAGACAGGCGAATGAAACCCGAATGGGAGACGACGATTGAGTCGTCATAGAGCGGTGACATGGAGCAGGTCGTGTGGCGAGGAGGAGGAAATGAGAGATTATAGACAATCGTGGAGAGAGGCCTAGTTGAAGAAGGACAGCAGAAAATGGAGCACACAATGGAGATGTGTTCTGCTGAAACCTCATGTTCCCCACTCGGAACCCACAGGAATCATAATAATAATAAATAGTTGTAGTAGTATTAAAGAAAACGAAAGTATAAGAAAGGCAGTGAATACAATGCACACTCACGAGATTAACCAAAAATCATCCGGTGTAAATGGATGTCGACTGTCACGTTCATAAATCACAGATAATAATCGTAAACAGATTGTAAATAAATTAGGCATAGTAGATGATGTACAACAGTCAATAGTTGATTGAGCTGATGCTGTTGCTGCTGCCTTATTATTATTAGCTGGCATACCACCACCACCACTACTAGACAGATTCGGTTTATTCAATTTATTATTATGATTATTATCGATTGTTTTCGACGATGCACTCCATAATTTCAGTTGGTTAGCTTAATAAAAATAAAAAAGAGAAGGAAAATAAATTAAAACGCGATACAAATTGAACATTTTGGATAAATTATTATTATTATTATTATTATGAATATTCTTATTGTGCGTCGTTGGCACAGCGGGAGAATAATCGCTAACCACGCACGGCACACGTGGTTCGGAGTTCGATCCCCAGCCACCGATGCACTCCTTTACCTCACTTAGCCAGTAAGTAATAAGACTGGTAAAGAGGGAAAGTGGGTCATGAGGCCAGCAGTAACCCCATCCCGTAAAAATAAACACTACTGATATTGAAACTGCAAGCCTCTAGCTTGAAGCCCTATGATGTTGCACTGGGAACGTAAAGGAATATTGCTGAAGAGTCCCAAACTAGGACCAAAACAGCTGTACAGTACTCCCAGCTTGTTTTCCAGTGGTTCTCTAACTGATGTCAGCTCATGGTGAAATCCCCCATGCACTCAAACAAAATCCCTACAAAACCAATACTTGAGAATAAAAAATATTTTAAAAAATTTACAACAGTAAAAGGTTACAGTACAAATTTATTAATGTATATAAGCAATCAACATGACGTGTTGTCAAGTGTTATCTGGCAAAGATTTGAATGACTGATTACAACGTGTGATCACGAACTGGCTTCACGTTTAGAGAACCGTTGAAAACAAGGAAGTACTGGTGGACAGTTGTTTCGTCCTAGTTTGGGAACATTGATTGCCTTTGCTTCCTTATTCTCTTTAGGTTTACATGACTTTAGCGATGGGTACTTCCAACTCCACTTCAGATCACGTCAAAGACTAGTAAAAGTCTCTCGTTAGAGTAAAATTCTATTTAGTCACTTAACAAGTATGAATCCCCAAAATTCCAAGTGATCCAAATTACAGAGATACAACTGAAAAGTTATAAAGAAAGTTTCATGAGGCATCTTACCGAGTGAAGTCAACCGATCTGATAAGGAAGAAATTTGCTTATTGATAGAAAAATTTTTTTTAGATTTTCTTAACGAACCAACATCAGTCAGAGAGGCCATTGAGAACCAGAGACCATTAAGCAGTTGTTTCGTCCCTCCTTATAACTCTTCATCGGTGCGTGCCGACTATCCCACCAGGGGTCGTTAACCGTTCAGCCACTTCGAGGATTGAGATGCAATGACCCCTGGGTTCTGACTCTGTCAACCCACACATTCAGCAGTTGACAGTAACATTATGGGGAGAATTGACAGAAGTTGTGAAATATAATCCAGATCAACTAACCGATTTTTCGAGATTGATTACGAATTGACTCGATTTACAGAACCTCTGCGAACTCAGGGGGAAGCGTAGAACTATTTCGTCCTAGTTTGGGACTCTTCATAAGGACGCTACCACGACGTCACGGGAAATCGAACCTAAGACCATCGGGTTACAAGGCAAGCTCATTGACCTTTCAGTCCGTGGGATGGAATCTAACTGAAATAAATCCGTGATGAACCTTCATACCAATCAATTCCCTGGTATTAGATGGTTGAAGGTAATCAGCAGGAAGTATTGGACCTAGGTCTCGCGCCTATTGCCGCTCGTTAGCAAGACATATATGCAATCTTGAAGGAAATTATGTCCCTTCTGAGATTCGAATGCCTCAGTGGCGGTAACGTCTCTGACTGTAGCACTAGGTGACACGGGTTCGAATCTCAGATAAGATATGAGTTCCTTCAAGATTGTAGATACGCCTATGCTAACTGGTAAGTGCCAAATAGTACGAAACCTAAGTCCAGGGCTTCCTACCAATCGCCTAAAAAAACAATTTACAGTTCACTGTGATGACGAGCCACCTAGTATGACGACCACATTACAAATATGAGTGATAGAATTCAGCCTGCAGAAAATAAGGGACTGGACGCGTGACACTAGTTATTGTACAGTCAATCAAATCCTTACAAACAGAAAGACGGAATCCAATGATATAATAGTCGATGAGCTTGCCTGGTAGCCTTGTAACGACAGAAGACAAGGGCAAGACAACAGATCCTCTATTGAGAAAATCAACAGATATTTATAGATTTTTATGTATATTATTGTTCGTTATTGTTAGCAGAGAAGCAACATCTTTTGTTTGGTTGTTTTCCTCCTGAAGGTTATTCTGTTATCTCTTTGTTGCCCCGTTTCTTAGACAGTCCGATGATATATCTGCGAATCGCATCCGCCCACGCTAAATCTGCTGTGATTGGCTGTTAAGTTCTTCAAGGTTAGGCTTTATTCTTGTCTTTTCTCATGACGCTGATTCGGGACTTAAACATTGACGTAAATCGCTGTCTAACAATTTCGGCTTGCCAACAGCTCTCTCACCACAGCCTGAAGGTCTCCGGCCCGGCTGCTAATGGATGGCTGGGGTAGTGGATGCATACTAACGAAGAGATACCAAGTAGGACGAAATATTTTTCCAGTATTCCCTAACTAATGATCTATCTATCTTGAGATCAATCACATCCTATGCAAACCAATACTTCACTGTTTTTCTTTCTTTCAAAAAACGGCTATTTCATGCTGCTTTCACATCACAAATATACTGAAATTCTGTCTTTCTCTTCAAATTAGCAGGTTTGTATCTTCGATTTGTATGCGAAAGTGTACAGATTCAAAATCTGTTGTACATCTACAATTAAATAACTTTTTGATGCGTCAATGACAGTGTGTGCCATTAAATTTAAAAACGATTACACACAGCTGTTCTCTTAATGTGTGATTTATGTGATTGCACAGATTCACATACATATTGAAGCTAATACTTTTTGCATCACAAGTATGTAAGATCGATCTGAGAAGACAAAATCATGTACTATGTTGTACTGTGAAGTTATTGATACGTATATATAATGATTAAATCCGGTGCTAGTTGAATTTTTGATGCTTTTTTTTAGTAAACTTTGTTTTTTTTCTCTTAAAATTAGCGAAATAATATTGATTTTACTTAGCGAAAATCAGATAGACAGATAGATAGATTTATTATTTATTTGGCGAAGTTAAACTTTCGACACCACTAACTACCAATCAGCGAATTATCCAATGAGATTCACGAACGATGTCGAATTATCCAATGAGGTTCACGAACGCAGTTCAATGTTGTATAGCGCTTGATTCATTTCTAATGCGTGACCTTACAAGGCTGTTGTTGCAATTCGAGGAGGTTAGTTTTTCCCACTATTTCCTAGATTTCAGTTGCTCCGGAAAGGACGAATTTGATTGTGTGGTGGTATCATGACTTTAAAAAGCTATACCAAATCAACTGATGGGTTTGTTCATCGTTGTGCTATATGTTTGAAGCCTACTAACACTAGAGAGTGTATGCTGATAATTTTATTATATCGTAGGAACTTTTTTCGTTAGGTCGCTTCTCTCCCTAAGGATAGCAGATAGAAAAGCAACTACTCTTATACCTATTGTTACCAGAATTGTTAAGCGGGGGTCAATTATACACACGGAAAGGCTACAATTCGCTGTCATCTCTGGGATATATTCATCATAGAGACAACCATTCAAGTGATTTTGTGGATCCCGTTACGAGGTTACATACAAATTCAAATGAAGGATTTTGGGGCAGGTTGGAAAACAGCATAACGGCAATAAATGTATCTCAAAAGGATCTCATTTATAGTCATTTGGATGAATATATGTACAGGATATGATGTAACTTCTCCATTGACAGTCCCATGCTAAACTGGGAGATTTTTCTCTCACATGTTCGAGAAAGATATCCCATGTAACCTTTTTTATTATCTATTTTATGCTTTTTTCTATAAATATACATTTCCATTCATCATATATTCCTCTATAATGTGATTGGTCCGTTCGAGGTCGTTTGCTGATTGGTTGTTAGTGGTGTCGAAAGTTTAACTTTGCCATTTATTTAAACGCAGAAAAAAATACTTGGTACAATATCGCACCAAGAAAGAAGCACCACACAATAATAATAAAACAACATAGATCAAAAGTAAACAATATAAGTAGAGAACGGATAAAGAACTTCATCTGGAAGGAAAACAGTCATACTTAACAAGTTCATACAGTATTCGTTAACTATCATCGGGAAGGGAAGAAAGAAGGAAATTGCAACACGTTCGCCATTGATTACGATTCTTCGCCATATCCGATAACGTTTCAAGCCATCGATTCGAGCTATCTCTCGGACCCCAACCAGGAAGTCGTGACGCACCAACCGATGCTAATCTAGCACACACACACACACACATCCTTCATCCCACGACGCCACGTCATGGACTGACCACACCTCCACCTTTTCTATCCCGTCCCAGGGCTGAGATGACATTCGTAGAACATGTCCAAGCCACCGGAGCGGGTGTTTCCAGACGACGACACTCAATGAATGAAAATCTACACTGTGTTCAAACGCACGTCGCCGAACCTCAGAATTACTCATGCGATGACGCCATCGAACGCAAGAAATCCTGCGGAGACAGTGATGATCGAACACACAGAGTCGCCGCCGCACATCCCTCAGCCTGCTCGGAGAGGCCAGGTTTTACGGGTGTAGAGCAGGGCAACCCGCCCGCACCGAAGCATTGTATACCTGAACTTTGACAGCCAGGCTAAGTTCGCGACGGCGCCAGAGGTGACTCAAGTTGATGTATGCCACTCTAGCCTTCATTATACGGTTGAAAATCTCATCCGTCACCCCGCTCCACCAACACTCACACAACTACCCAGATACACAAAATTATCAACAACTTGAAGCGGTTCACGCACAAGAGTCAGTGCAGTACTTTGCAATTAGACGGCACAAAGCACACACCATACTTACAAACACTGATCGCCAACTGACTGATCAAGTACGATTTGGGCAGCCTGCATGCTATTGCACAGTAAGACGATATCGTCTGCATACTCGAGGTCGAAAAGTCTATCTCCAGGTAGCAGATCTACACCACCTTTACGCACATCCTTCAGAGCTGACTCCAGAATGTCATCGATGGCAAAGTTAAAGAGAAATGGAGAGATTGCTTTGATGT